TGCGTTAACTATATGGACTTGCCTGTAAGGCCCGCTGGATTTCTATTCAAAGCGAGTCGATTTTTCACGAATAAACTGACCGCGAATTGTGATGTAAAATTAAATTGCGTATATTCTTCAGCAACCCCCGAGTAGAAACGCTTAAAATCACCGCCCCCTGCAAACGAACGTTAAATTTTGTTTTTAACAGCATTGAACAATCCTGCTCGAGGAGAAAATGACAGGTGCCAATCAGGCAACCTCATATCACTGATTTCACTGTCTTCATTTTACTCAATAATTCTTTCCTGTAAAAAGCCATAGGCCGTTCTGACCATATTCCCCTGGATATTTCCGTCGCAAAATTTTTAAATAATGGCTCAATCTGAACTGTTTGGGGTGTTGTATTACTGCTGGTTTTATCTTTAAATCTCACTATATGTACGGAATTTTGACCTGGGAGGCTTGCAGTTAACATACCGTTGCTGACAATAAATAATATGATAGATTGCAGCGACACAGTTAATACTTATACTTAGATTTCAGAAGCAATCACATTGATAGCTTCTCGTAGTAAATGTACGATTTCGGCCTTTATAAATCAGGAATCCAAATAAAAACTCGTTAGGGTGATTGTGCATTTTCATATCGCGGTCTGCATCACTGATTGCCTGACATAATTTTGAGAACTGGGGGAATCTTCATTTACCAGCATAGCCGCTACGCAGCGGTTAAAAATCGTTCCAATGTCTATGATTAAGCTTTTCATCAAAACCTGTTCTTTGGTCTTTCTACCATGAGGCGTTCTTCAGTGTTACACACGCCATTTGAGATATTATGCAAGTGGGGAATGTAATTAAAGACGTGCTGACCGGTCATAGGCGCTCACCCTGCGGTCAATCATGGCTATAGACACTCCGGCATCTGCATAGGCCAACAAAAAATGCTCAGTGTTAACGCTTCTAGTCAGACCTCTGACCGAATAAACCGCAGGCGCAGAAACCTTCGTAGTTCCCATCATCCAGGCAAAGTTTTTAATTTGCAGCAGAAAACAGTCGGTATGTGGACAGTAAACCTTCTTAAACGATATGATTCCGTCAAATGGGACAATCAGGTGTAATTTTTAATTAATGTACTATTCGTTGCCATGACAGATTCCGGTAATATATTTAAAAAATCTTTGCGAAATGAAAAAAACTCTCAATATTTGTCCATTCTGCTGTTCCATTTCAACAACAAGTGCATAAAATGCTTACCGGACTTTTGATGTCGAAAGGTTGAAATCATCTCCAAATGCAAAAATACAGCCTACATACGAGATGCTCACCCGTTAGTCGAGGTTAGGCACTTCCAATAGGCGAACAGTTTCCGTTTTCTATGAAGACATAGTAGCCTTATGCATGCCATGAAGTCCTTCTCGCGGACTTTCTATCTTTCTTAGATGATCGGGAATCGTCAAATTATTGGAGACATATAAATTCACAAGGAAAATCTCGACAAACTGACAGGATCCGAATAATGTTGAACACGACCAGAAGTTGCGCCTGGCCTTACGGTTTTCAAAGTGCATGTCGCATGCATTCCGTGTCTGATAAACCGTACATCTCCGCTTTAAAATGATGATGTCATTAGTGGGTTTTAAGCAGTTTGGAACAAATGTAGATAATGCCGTGTGCTTTAAAACAGCACTGGCAAATGGACACAAATGATAAAATTTGAATATTGTGTGCACAGTATAAAATATGCTTATGCGAGCAGACAAATTTTGAAGAATATATATTGTTTCTATTCACGGGGCTAAAAACTAGTTTTAATGTATAAGCTTTCTAAACAATATATGGTAATATGCAAAAACGCACAAACACAAGTAGCCATTTTAACAGATTGTGGTTTAAGGGTCGGGTAGATGTAGGCAAGCACAAATCCCAGTGTCCTGAGATGATTGGAATATTTGGAGATTGTTTTCTCATACTGTACAGTTTCGGTTAACATCTCATGACAATGGATATCGTAGTCCATTGCGGGAACATATCGTTTCGGTTAATCCGGATTCGGTCTAAGGACAACTTCTGCATATCATCCGTCACGGTACTTCGAAAGAATGTTCGTGCTGCGGTGAAGTCGATCAGTGCATATTGCTGCAACATTTGCAAAGACATTGACATTTGAATGTCAAGGCGGTGCCGTCTTTTCCACAGGTAACAAACGTTCGCTTTGTATTAACACAAATGGCGCGTTTTAATGAAGCAGGTCTACTTCCTAGGAAGTACTGAACGATCGTGAACGACTGCTTCCGTCTGCAGCATTCTATAAAATGGAAGGAGACAGCAGAGGCAGGTTCTGCGTTGGACAAGGTGAGGGCGTGAGAGGTGGGCTAATTGCTAGTATAATACCGACCACAAGGACACAATTGCGTGTGAGGTTTTGGCCAAGCCTTAGGAGAGAGAACGAGCTTGATAGCAAATCCAGCGTGTTTGATTAAACCCTATAGAACATCTTTGAGGCGGTCTTATTCAACAACCCTTCCGCAAAAAGCGTTCTTAATGCGGATCATCCTTGCATGTCAACATCAGATCCGGTGACCTCAAATATAGGGTTTTTCAAATAGTGATCGGGTGTTTCTGGCCACTGGACGATTGGCCAAATGAAGCATCACAAGGACAGTAGTCGAAGTCATGGCAGTTGAGCATAGAATCTTGAAAGTTATTAGTATGGACCTTAAATGAACATACATATCCACAGTGTTTAGAGAGTTCATTAAAAAATGCATAGCACATGTTATGCAACCCTTGGAATTTACGCACACACGTAGATTATGTGCATTCAGCTGTTGCGAATTAAAGAAAAATTTAAAGACAGCCTTCGAACCTCCACCTAATATTCGGTTTTTTCTTTCTCTAATGGTGTCGGTCAAGCTTAAAATGACAGTCATCGTGCATGTAGTAACATTTTCGATTTCGCAGTCTGCAACACTGCATGCATTGTAAAAAATAAAAAAAATGTTCAGCGCCGCTGTATTATCGTTCTTGCAAACATATTACAATAAGAATTAGTTCTGAATAACTTGGGGTCATCGACTACTGTCGATTCAAATGCTAAGTTGGTCTGTACTCACCAGATATCTCTCAAGTAAATAACTCTGTGCAAAGAAGGCTATAAATGCTAGAATAAATATGCATTGTGATGACAAATAGATATTTCTTGTATATATGTGTTACTGCACTAACGGATATTGCTTCAAGAGGGCAACAAACTACGGCATACTAATTACTTCGCGTTTCCTCTGTTTCCTCCTTTAATAATATGAACCTAACGGTTGTCTCAATCCAATCTCACTTTCGTCTAATTGCCGTGCTCATAGACCCATATAATGCGTTAAAATCGCACCATACTACCGAGGTAATAGTTCTGGCGCGTACTGTCAGCGGTTGGCCTCACGTATACTTGGAAATGAAATGTGAAAATTAATCGAGCCTCAATGTCATGCATACGAAATACGTTTCACTTTCCATCTAAAGAGTAGAACAATGGGTAGCGCCATGTGATGGGCCTGTACGATGAAGAGAGATCGAATGCCGGTAGGAGAACATATACAGTCAAATTATATCGAATGATATGCGGACATTGAGGTCTCTCTATATGAAGGCTGGCATTAGTAATCTCTAGCGTGTCCTCACGTTCGCAGTCACTGGGTATTCTTGCTACAGGTAACGTTGCATTTACTACCTGGCAGACATCTCTAAATGACCAAGAGTCATACAACTCTTAAATGAATGTTTGTCTGATTCTTCGCCAAAACAAACTCTACGACGGGCAGATGTGATCGGGATCGCTTTCTTCGCACTTTTTAACCGATGTATGAGGGCGCCATATCTCGATTAGCGTATAGCGGTAGAACGTCTTTGTATTGTTTCATCAAACGCTTATAAAGAAACGTATTTTTATTTATTCGTATCTCTATAAAAATGACCCATTGCAATGATCCATAGACAGCATGCACAGTCACTTACACCACAACTACCACCAAATAGCAATTGCCAACGTACCTACACGTAAGTTTTCTGTTGGCCCAGTTGCGAAATGTGGTGATGCATCACTTAGTTGGAATGATCGAGCCGATTACATGTGTTAGCCCTTACAGATGACCTGTGTTAGAGCATTCAATCTACTAGTTAATTCATAAAAATGGCCTACCGTCAACGTTATTTGAACTTAAAAGCTTATTTTATTAAAATTCTTTGATATGCGTTTTAGTAAATATTATGTCTTTGACTTCACAATAGGAGTTTTTGATGTAAACTACGGGACCTTTTGTATTGGCTACTGTTTCAGATGCCACTGACCAATGAGGTTGTAAAAGATATAGTGACTATCACTTATTCTAATTTCCTTTGATTCAAGCAGTTAATGATGATTTGTTCTCCATCAGCACAACGGGCGATATTGACAAAAAGATCCGTCCTGACTGATAAGCATAGTATTGCGGAAATTGTCTAAAAAATATTAACCGAAAATTATAGTAATCTGCCTAAACGCACGATCGTCTAGCGTTACTTACGGAAGGTAAACTAATTTAGACAGTTTCTGCATTCAAGTGGACGAAAAAACGAGCGTTTAACAAACGCAGTGGTCGAAACAGACGTTCGACTGCATATTAGGCAAATCGGATTAATGTCATGTAAAGCTTAATGGTAATTGCCTATCATTAAACGTTTTAAGTATTTAAATTAACCTCTTGTTTACGCCACTTGACATCGTCTGAAGGGGGTATTTCGGAAGCTCAGGTTATCTTTGGTGTCTTTATTAGCTGTACAAACTCGTATCTACGCCACCTGCGAGGTGTACGCGCAATGGGCATGCAAAATTCGTTAAGCGAGTGAAAAGTAGGCACTCTGGCGGCTTAACATGTGACCGTTTTCGATATGCTATTTGCTTATTCGCTACCGTAGAATAAGGCAACAACTATATATAAGACGACAAAGGGGAACATTCAGCAGGCTATTCGATTTAAGGTATAAAGCATGAGTGTCTGCTACCTCATTGCTGGGATGCTTGTCCTCCTGGTCTTTTCAGCCGTAAATGAAGATGCATACATTCTATCTGACTCGAAAGCGAAAGCCGACCAACCGCAGAATGAGGAATTTGCTTCGCAGAATGGAGAAGCAAAGGATAATTATGAAGTTCACAACATCTTCGAAGATAAGGATGAAGGAGAAGAAGAAATGTTGCGTGATGTTGATGGGACCGGGCAGGAAAATGTCCAGTATCATGATGCCGAAGACAGTTCCGACGAAAAGGGAGGTGATAATGGTTATAATCATGGTGGACATGATCAAGAAGATGAAGAAGAGATAGATTTTGGCGACAATATGGGCGAACATCACTTTGCTATTTCTGGTTTTGAGGTTGACATCGCAGTTCACGTCGGTGGACACCATGGGGCTGACGAACATTATTTTGGTGGAGATGGTGGATATGATGCCGACGAGGATGATAATACGGATGACAACAATGAAGATAAGGATGATCATGGCATGAAGGAAGACCATGATGAGCACGAGGATGATTGAAAGTGGGGGAAAATATGGTTAATATAGCTTGGTAACTGTCATTCCTTCTCACCATCGTTGTCGGAGTGGGTTCTGTGTAGTTTCAGAAAGTTTCCCTTTTAATTCTGCTTGATTAAGATTTATTATACATTCCATACTCTTCAACTTTTCCTTTATACCGGGTGGAAATTAAGAAAATTAAATTTTAACAGATGCGATGCTTGAAGGTGAGGCCGTATGCAAAACTAGTTGCAGGCAAGGTAATATGACGGATTTTATTTTTCAACTTCAATCAGTTAATCATGACTTCGGGCGCATTCTTTTTTACGTAGTCTAGTGGCTTGCGAAATTTGACCTCCACGGTAGGGATTAGAGTAAGCGTTATTTGAGAATAGCAGCGAGTATCCGATAAAAATTATTAAGATCTAATTTGACATCCGCATGTCATTTGCTGGGGACGCAATATCCAAAAATCTTGGATTTGAAAATTATGTAAATATAAAATAACCGATTCAATTGTAAGGGAAGGGGAGATATATGACCTTATATGCCACTTCCGGTATTCGGGATTTAGTAATATACGACTCAATAAAATCGCTCACTTTAGATAAAGCTTCGAAGGTTCATTGACATCACTTCATTATTTCGCTGCATCACGCCACCTAAACAACATATCCTGAATGGAGTTGAACCGTCTATTAGTTTTATTTGTTACACATTGGTATTCGAAGCTGAAGTGCAAAATGCTGAATTTGAATTATGCACGATTTATGTCTGTAAATTGTGCACACAGAACGCCCATTTCTCAGCTCATGTCATACACTCATGACACGAATGTAGATTTTATAGAGAGGATTGACACGGCAGCATTGACATGCCCAACCTATCAATAAAACAGTTAATAGCAATATAAACCTCGAACTTTTAAATATACGTTTGCAGTGTTAAATTAATAACGCCAAAATTGGTGCGACTTGCTTTTTGAAAAATTTTAAATAATAGTTGCCTTTTAATAGTTTCGCACCTTCATCTGCGTAAGTTGTGATGTGGCACTTTATAAAACACACGGAATCTTAGTGTTGCTGGCTTGCGCTGCTGTGCAAACTGTAGATGAAATGACCGACTGTAAACCTATGGTTTTTACCTTTCAGAACTGCCTGTTGGAATGAAATTGTAACTGCTTGTACGTAATGCACTGCTTAACCCGTTATGATTCATTACACCGTATGAAAAGAAGTGATGGTGGTCCCGAATTTTACCTTAAATACCGGAAATATTGCGTTAAATATTTTATTAATTAAGCGTCATTGCAAGTAGGCGACACATAAGTGTGGCGGCAACTAACCAAATTATAAATTTTATAATCCAGCTATGATGGCTGTCAGGATAGAATTCTCTGTGAGTATCACTGACACTTATTCATTCAACAAGAAGGAAGGATGTAAATACTATTTTTCTACGTTTATTTGTACTTTGGAGAAGGCATTAGGAAGGAAGACATTTAAACTGCATGATTTAAAAAATGGCGTTTTAAAATACAAATACTCTGTTGAGGCAATCAGTTCGGTATTTTCCTATTCAAAGCGATAGAGCAACACATTTGCAAGCTCTGAAATGCGTCATCCACTCAAAATGTTGTGATATTAGTCGCCATGCAACATAAACCCGAAATATTTCAGTTCCATCAGGATGCTGGTTCAGAGAAGGAAGATGCGATCACTGGAAAATGACATTTATTGACCTGACCAGTGAAAGTTACTAATGGCACAAGTGGTGATGTATTTATAGTACGTATCTGCTATGGAATACTATGTGTACTTAATAAACAGCTCGCACGATCACCACGAGTGTCGTAACTGATGCGTTGCCGGCTTGCCAGTCCGTAAACTACCACATCTTTGTCTTCTGAACTGTTTCATTGATGATGCGGCCGAAAGACCCGATCCCTAAGCAGGAGATGTCGGCCGTTGTCTACCGACTTCAATGCAGCTGCGGAAGTTGCAACTACGTTGGGGAAACCAGCCGACGGCTGCAAACGCGAATGCACGAGCATAAGTTGGCCGTGCGAAGGTTGGACCCAAAGTCGGAGGTAGCAACCCATGCCGCGCAAATGGGACACATCTTCAACTTTGACGCCGTTGAGATTGTGGGCCAGGCAGCGATCACACAGCAAGGCAAGTGCAAGAAGCCTGGATGTCCACCGACCGCTCTGTCAACCGCCACATCAATTTGCCTCCCCCTATCTGACTTTACGAACCTTCTTGGCGGGGGACAGTCACAACGCGGGACAATCGGGGCCGTCAGTCATCACCGCGGCCGACGGGGGCGATTCAGGTCACGGTGACATGCGGGTTGGATGCAGCCACACAGACGGCATTGGCGGATCACGCATTGGACAAAGGGCGCCATAATAAGGAGTGCTGTGCACAGGACCTCCCAGTCCCTGAAGTTGGGTACACGGATAAACTACCCGAAACGTCGGATCTCAAATAAACCCCTCCCGGTGAACGCCCCCTCTTCTTTTGATATGCCACCTGGGAATCGGATTTTCACTACTATTGATGTTTCATTGGTCTTATTTGTATGCCTCTATCAGTAATCTCCTTCGGCGCGATGCGATGCGATCGGCTTGACGTTGGAAAATATTCGCCATTCGAAAGTGGTCTATATATTCGCAGATTCGGTTTCTGGGCAGGCGTCTCGACTATAACGCGTTGCCAAAGTGTGTTTTATGCAAATCTGCGGTTAACACAAAGTTTTCGAGGCGCTCAGCATTCTAGCACGGCTCCTTTAAAACTGTCGTCGAAGGAATTGGCAGGGCAACAAATGCGTCGTCGTCCTCCTCGAGCGGCATCTAGTGCGGGTATTCAAAGAACGTCTCAAAGCTCTCCTTTTAAGCATTCTAACTTAGATTGCGACGACGAGAAAAATCGGTTGGCACTTTTGGATTTTCTAGTTTGCAGCATGGATTGTGGTGGCCTAAAAACCAACATGTCAAGGAAGCGGCAAATAATAACCACCCAATCAGGCACAATGGCAGTTGCGTATGGACGATTAATCTGCACATTCATACGCTTTGGAGTAAAACAGAAGACAAGGTTGCGTAATTATTATATCATCGGCAGGTACTGCGAGCTAATGGCTTTTTGTTGGACTTTGTCAGCCCCCTGCATACCCAAAGATGATCAGAAAAAAATGCGACCGACCCTAAATTTTGACGGGCTGTTTTGCAGACATAGAACGTTTGCGAAACCGCTTGTCGTCTTAGCAGTCCACTAGAAGTTGGGTTTGCACATGGACCGAAAGCAACAATTAGAGTGCCCCGTCATGTTTGTAAAAGACTTGCCGCCACGGCTGGAAACGTCAGGAGCCATTTACCGGGTATGGTTTAGTTACGGCAAAAACAACCGTGTCGGAAAACTGACAGTCGCGAACGGCCGAGCACACAGCAAGAACGAGACGAGGGATTTATCTGTGTCGTGAATGCTCATTCGACGGCATCCGGCCATAGTTTTAAGTTTTAGGAAGCAGTATTCCTCGCAAGTTGTGACAACCGCCTTAGCCGCTAGCTGATGCGATCACGGTTCTCCGGCTCGCGATCTATCAGTTCACGCATTGACCTCCCGTTTGCATATACTGTGCTGAGATTTTCCCTGGATAATCAGTCACTCGGGACGGTCGCAGGTGAGCAGCCATGGAGGCGAAAGCAAGTCAAATGTGCGGGCAATATTCACACCAACCTCCAATAAGGACGACTAAATCACGACAATTAACGACTAGGATACGGACGGTTAAGCCGTCATCGTATCAGTTTCCCCACCTAGCGGTGATTGCAAGAGCTGTTACTTGAAGTACTCTTACTGTTTCATCGTAGCTACGTACCATAAATTCTGCTCTACTTGTATCATCACTGCCCTTTTCTGATGATGAGTTCAAGTGAAAATCCGAAACATTTGGCTAATAATTTTCAAGTTTCAGTGATTATACATGGTGAAGTTCTTAGTGGCACGACTAGGCATTCGGCTGGAAAATGATTCCATCACTGATATTATATATTTTGAAGCAATTTACGGGGCCCTTCTTCGAAACACGTAGACTTCACAGACTTGCCTACAATGTTTGCCTGACGCCACTTCAAGTAGAGTCGATTTTCTACGATAAAGAGGACTTAGGATTTTGCTGTCAGATGAAATAGCGCCTACCCTACCACAAGACTCTTACAAAAAACACTTCAATCCCCTGCACTTTGCACCCGAGCATTACATTTTGGTTTAGTCGTGCATAAATTGGCAGTTGCCAATCAGATAACTAAATATCATTGATTTTAACGTCTGCATTTTACAAAAATATGCCATTCATGCAAAATGCATAGATCGTTATTGTCGATTTTCCAGAGATATTCAGACTGAAGAATTTAAAATAGTCAAGTTGGAATCATTTGGATACGTTTATTACTATATGTTATATCACGCCTTTTCACACTACATACGGGGGTTTGACCAACAAAACAGCTAGCAACTAGCATTCTTTGTCAACTATAAATAAAGTGATAGAATGTGACATTACAGTATATACTTTTGCTCAGATTTCCTCAAACGAATAGCATTGAGTGTTGCTTATACTAAATGTAGGATAACAACGTTCAAAAATTAGAAAGCTTAATAAAAACAAGTGGAGGTGATTGCGATTTCGAATTCAGATATCTGAGTTGCTGTGTTAACAATGACGTTTCGGAATTTTCCTGCCGGATAAGCAATTATATATAGGGCTGCGTAGCAGGTAACAACAATATACAGTATAGCATCCAACTGTCGCCATATCGGAATAGACCTTTTTAGATATTTCACTGAAAACAGTACACAAAGTAAGAAGAAAAACAATAATGTTCACCTGGGCCGTGTGTCTTTAAGTTTAATGATAACTCATAATATTTATGTGCCCTTTTACGTTGTTGACGTTCTACTGTAAACGATCAGCTAACCAACTTGACTCAATTCATATGTAATTTAAAAGACCAGCAT